AAACGCAGATTCTTAACACTGTCCTCGCGCGCCACTGGCAGCTAGGAAGGAAACAACACTCACGAACACACACCTAGCAAAAAATCAATCATACGTCGGCCCAGGGTCGCTGGATTGCCGAGGGACCGGGAAGATCTGTTCGAGGCCATGACTCGATCGTGGTGCTCTATGGACCGCCTCCCTAGGTTGCGGATGTAGTCCCTCAGATCGGTGTCCTCAGCTGGCACGCGCTTCACAGCGTAGACGCCAGGGGCGCCGCCACTTCGCACGTCCTCAACAACGTGCGGGGTGATGCGCAGCTTCTCGAGTGTGGCGAAGGCATCTCTATGAGGCGCGCACGGTGAGCACCGCAGTTGCAACGGGCCAACAGCCGCGATGCCTGTGCTAGGCAGACCGGGCGTGGGAGACGGTCTGCTACGGAAGAGCAGCAATGCCCAAACTCCAACCAGCAGCAGCGCGACGAGAGCCAGTGTGACCGGACGTGCCGCTCGCTCACGCATGCCCGTCCAGACAGGCACGACCCCTGCTCCTGCTCCCCGGGCGAGGGTATAAGTGCCCATGGCGCTGCGCTCGATCAATCGATGCCTTGCGGAGGCGTCTTGGACGTGCCGCAGACGGCGGGCGGCGTCGCACAGCGAGGGGAGCTCGCCGGTATACACAAAGGCTGCGGGCGGGCGACGGGCGCGAGGCCGCCCCGGTGGGTAGGATCCCTGCCCGGGTATACCGAACCAGGGTTGGAGAGAACGGCGTGGGCGACGCCGTCCCGAACTCTGAACTACGACGCAGCGACGGGCTTCGGCCCCCCAGCGCCGAACGAGCGTTTATCGCCCACGATGGGAGCTCCAGCGGCGGTCCGCCGCCGGATGCGAGCAAGCGCAAGCTTGGGTCATAATTGCGTGGTGGGCATGCTTCAAGAGAAGAACCCAAAGAATAGTAAAAGTAAGAGCACAAAAAAGAAAATGACGAAATGTGTTCTCAAAGGAGGATCGAAGCAGGCGCGTCCCCCCTCAAGACGACGTGCCATTTCGGTCCGCGTGCCCCCGCGCCCGGTGAGATGCCGTGGGGGCTTGCGCTGGTGGCGGTTGTGGCCGCCGGCCAAGTCAACTTCTTCAAGCATTCCCAACCGCGCGGAGATCATACCGATGCCTCCCGCAAGCACCTCCAGAACCGCGGGGGGCACAGCGATGTCTCGAACAGGTCCACAGGTGGTCTCCACAGACCAACGCGGTCGTGTGGGCACATCTCGCATGTCGCATTCGGCGCAGACAGCCACCAGGCGCCGGGCCTGGCGCCGCTGGTCTGGTCGATCTTCAGCAGCAGCCGCAGCCCGCACTGCATCCATGTGCACGCCTTCTGCGTCGAGGCGGAGCCCAGCCCGCAGAGCAGAGAGGCGATCCGGAGAGTCGGAATGGAGATCACAGTCCATGTCGTCAATCTCGAGCAGTTTCCACTGCTCCACAACCTGAGCAACTCGAGCGCCATGAACTTGGTGCGCTTCTACCTCCCCGAACTCTTGCCGGAGGCCGCCTCCTCAGTCCTCTGGCTCGACACGGACATCATAGTGCGCTCAGATGTGCACGACCTCCTCTCGAAGCTCTTCGTCGGCGCCAACCATTCAAAGTCGCTTGCTGCCGTGGCGCGCAAGAAGGAGCTGCGCACCATCACGCGGTACCGCCCGTCAAAGCTTGGGGTTCTCAAGGCATGGGGATACAACGTGAGCACAGTGCTGCGGGGTGACGCCTTCAACGCCGGCCTCATCGCCTTCAACCTCCAGCAGTGGCGCGCGCAGAACCTGACGCAGCGGATCGAGGCGCTGGTGGCTGCGCTTCAGGAGGTCGGCCTCGCCTCGTATGCTGGCATGTCGCTCCCAGGCGGTATGCGAGCTGCGCCGAGCAGCCAGGTGCCGCTGCAGCTGCTCTTTGGGCACGACTTTCAGCGGATCGATTCCTGCTGGAATGTGGGCGGTTTGGGCACCAGCTGGGGGAACGGGGAGCTGCTGCCACTGCGGGTGTGGGCAAAGTACAGCGCCGCTTGGTGGACGGGGGAGGTCGCAAGGGGTTGCGCCCTTCATTGGTCGGGTGGCGACAAGCCTTGGAGCGGGCACAACCCATTTGCGCCGCAGCACTACAAGCCGGTGCGCAAGGCGGCGATCCGCGCGGGCTATGGCGATATTTTCCCCGGCGCCGCTGCGCACGACGGAAGCGATTATGGTCTGCTAAGAAATGTTGCAATCTTCGTAGCTGCTCCTTCCGCTCTCTTCTACGTAGTCGCATTGAGACGACCGGGCCCTGGGGCGTTGCGAGCAGAACTTGTCCCACAGAGCCCATCTGTGCACTATCGTGGAGACGTGGACACAGTGTCAGTCTAGAATGGGTACAAAATGTGTCATGCCTGACCGCTCCGCGCCGTAAGTTCTCTTAGGGTTTGGCGGGGAATGCGAATGCGGAATGGCATTCCGAAAGGAAATTCGGAATGGCCGAAAACTGGCGCAAAATTTGTTTACGCGACACTGCGGGCACGGGACTGGCGCGCACTGGCACTAAGAAAGAAAGAATATTGCATGCCCATGCTCATGCACACGTTGTTGTACTCTCTGGGGGGAAATTCTTTGTGCCGCGTTCTCACGGTGGCGCCTTTGCTAGAGCATGGACATGCACATCTTCGTGCGCTGGATGATCGTGCTCGCTCTCCTCGTTGTACCAGTTGACGCTCAGCGCACCACACGCGCCCCAGCAAGGTCCGCTGGCGCAGACTACTACAAGGTGCTTGGAGTCCCGCGGTCGGCCGACGCGAAGAAGATCAAGAAGGTGAGGTTAGAGGTTAGCCGCACACACCTCTCTGCCTGCCCGCTCCACCAGCCTCCTCAACGCTCTATGCAGGCCTACCGCAAGCTTGCGCTGGAGTGGCATCCCGACAAGAACCCGGACAAGACCGAGGAGGCCGAGGCAAAATTCAGGGAGATTACGGAGGCCTACACCGTCCTCACTGACGACGAGAAGCGGCGTGTCTACGATCAGTTTGGCGAGGCCGGCCTCAAGGGCGAAGCCGGCTCCGGCGGCCCCGGCTTCGGCGGCGGCGCGGGCATGAATGTTGACCCCCGCGAGATCTTCAAGCAGTTCTTTGGCGGCGCCGACCCTTTTGGAGGCATGGGCGGAGGCATGGGCGGCGGCGGAGGCAGCTTCTCGTTCTCGTCTGGCGGCGGCGGCGGCGGCCCGTTCCAGCAGTTTGCGACCAACGCCGACGGCTCCTCGCACCCCTTCGGCGGCGGCGGCGGTGGCGGCGGCGGTGGCGCGGTGCCGGTGCCGTCGCAGCTGCACCCGGTAGAGCTGCGCGCGGGTGCGGGTGGCGGGCTCGGGCTGCGCCTATCGCGCTCCAACGAGGCGCCGGACGCGCACGCCGGCAGCCGAGATGGGCCGAGATGGGCCGAGATGGGCTGAGATGGGCTGAGATGGGCTGAGATGGGCTGAGATGATGAGGCCGATGCGCCGAGAAGTGTGACGCGAGGTTGGCGGGTGGGCGGCAGGTGCTCGCCGTGAGCCGCGGCGGTGCGGCCGAGGCGGCAGGACTGCGCGTGGGGGACGTGGTGTACGAGGTGGACGGCGAGCCGCTGAGTGCGGGTGTGGCGGAGCGGCCGTCTCTCGGCCCTCTCTAAGCTCTCTTTCGGCTCTCTCTAAGCTCTCTCTCGGCTCCCTCTCGGCTGTCTCTGGGCTCCCTCTCGGCTGTCTCTCTCGGCTGCGTCTCGGCTGCCTGTGGGCTGGATCTCGGCTGCCTCTCGGCTGGATCTCGGCTGCCTCTCGGCTGCAGGCGAGCGCGCGGCGGAGCGGCTTCGTGGCTCGGAGGGTCACCACCTCAAAGTGGCATACGTCAAGGGCTCCGAGGGGCAGGCGGTGGAGGCGGAGGCACCTAGATGCCGAGTGAGATTTGAGTGCAGACCCGCCTCTTCCATCTCGGCGGTGCGCAGCTGTGGCCCACTGCCTCAGTATGCGCACTCTTAGGTGGAGGTGCCGCGAGACATTTCCTAGACACTTCCTAGACACTTCCTAGACACTTCCTATAGCACACTCTTAGGTGGAGGTGCCGCGAGATGCGTCGCTCGGCATCCGCGTCGACGGCGAGAATGTCGTCTCGAGGGTGGTTCCGGGCGGGGCGGCGGCGAGGCACGGCCGATTGCGCGTGGGAGACAGGGTGCTGTCGGTGGACGGCCAGTCGCTGCGAGGCGGGCGGAAGCTCTCCGAGGCGATCGCGGCGGCGGGCGGCGGCGGCGGCAGCAGCGGCGGCGGCCACTTGCGCTTGCGTGTCCTGCCCGCCCGGATCGAGCTTGCTGCGCCGCGCGGCGGCGGCGGCAGGCAGCAGCAGCAGCATGGCGGTGCCAGGCGGTCGGCAGCGGGTGGTTTTGGTGGTTTCGGCGGCGGCGGGCGGCAAGGCATGGGGGGCGGGTTTGGCGGGTTTGGCGCAGGGATGCCGGGCGGCGGCGGCGGCGGTGGGGGGGGCGGCATGGAAGACATGCTGCGCAACATGATGGGCGGGATGGGCGGCGGAGGAGGGGCAGGCGGGAGGGCGCGAGGGGGTGGGCGCGGCATGCCGGACTTGTCGAGCTTCTTTGGCGCGTGACACAGTAGCACGGGGTTGGAAGTTGCGAGCCGCGGCGCCAGTGAGCAGTGTACTGAAGAAGTGTATCAGTGTGAAGGGTTTGTGGGCGGCGGGCCACTCCCACACCGCACGCCGGCCAGTGGCCCACCTTTTTTGTCGCCGGCAGAGTCACACGACACACGCGGGGCTCGGGGGGACGGGGGTCCACAGCGTCCACACGAGACCAGCGCGTGACCCTCTGACCCTTACATACACACACACACACCCGCACCCCAGCGTCACCGAAGTTCTCACGGTGCACCGCCGAATCAGACAGCAATCGAGACGCCGTGTCGGGTACACCCGACCCCCCACAGCCCACGCGAACTGTGCGACCAAAGATTTGGCCCCGCCAAAGTACAGTGTCACTGTCAGCCCGCCATCAGCTGCGTGAGGCACTGCGACACGGCCGTCACTCTCGCGAGGATGGCCTCGCGCTCCGCGGGGCAGAGCCTCGCCCCCCACCGCGCGACAAACTTGTCGGGGTGCCATCGCCGCAGCTCGGCCTGCAGCGCGCGTCGTCGTCCTGGCCCCCCCTCCGCCGCCTCGTCGTCGAGCACGTGCATCGCCACCACATCCGGCGTGAGCTCCGCCATCTCGCCGCACGGCCACGGCAAGTCTGCGGAGCGGAGCGGGGGGGGAGCGCCCGCCGCCGCGGCCGCAGCCTCCGCCTCGCTGCCCAAAGCCACCCACCGAGCAATGTACGTCGCACGCTTCTCGGCGCGCGCGGCGGCGCGGCTTGCCGCTTCCTCCTCCCTCCGCAGCTGCGCAAAGGCGGCGTCTGCCCTCTGCTGCCTCTCGGCAGCTCCCTCGCCGCCGCCACCCGCGCCGCCGCCACCCGCACCGACGCCGCCTCCGTGCCCGCCCGCTGCCGCTGCCGCCGCCGCCGCCGCCGCCGCCGCCGCCGCCGCCGCCGCCGCCGCCGCCGCCGCCGCCGCCGCCGCCGCCTCTCGCGCCTCCCTCGCGTGCTGCGCTCGCCGCGCCGCCATCGCAGCAGCAACCTCCGAGAACCAGTCCCCGCCGCCATCGTCGGACCACGACGCGTACCCGCCCTCCTCGCTGTCGCCCGCCCAGCCGAAGCCGCCGCCGGACGTCTCTCCCCGCTCCGCCGCCTCAAAGTAGCTCTCCTACAGTGTCATCCCGGCGCGAGCAACATCAGCACCCTTCACCCGCCAGCCACCTCAGCACTGCCACGGCCGCTCTCCTCGGCTAGCCGCTCCCGCCATGCCGACTCCTCCGAGGGCGGCGGCGGAGCGGCGCCAAGCCCCTCGTAGTCGCCCCCAAAGGCGCGCCGGTAGAGCGCCGCCGCCTCCTACAGCCAAGACATGCGGCAGAGGAGTGGCTCCGCCGGTATCACACGCAGCGGCGGCGTGAGAGACGGGAGTTCGCCTCGCCCTCGTCCTCCTCGAGCCCCTCGCCCTCGCGCAGCGCCAGGTACAGCGCGTCGTCCACCTGAGCGGCACTCCGCGTCGGCAGTGAGGGCTGCAGCCCACCGCCTCTGCAGGCGCCGGTTCAGGCGGGCAGCACACGCCGAACAGCCGCTGTCGTCGCAACGCTCGCGGTCCAACAGCACGTTCGCCGCCGCCGCCGCCTCGAGGAGCGCGCGCGCGCCGGCGGGTCCAGCCACGTGACCCGGAAGCCGCCCACGCGCATCGGCGGCATTCACGTCCGCACCGTGCTCCGTGAGCAGCCGAACGAGGCCGGCGTCGCCGCTTTTGACGGCGAGATGGAGCAGCGTGTCGCCCTCGGCGATGCCTCGGTGCGGCTTCGCGCGCAGCTGGGAGCGGAGGCTCTCTGCCGCCGCCGGCTCAGCGACGAGGCTCGCTAGGAGAGTGCGAGCCTTGGCCAGCTCGCGCTTTGCGATCGCAGACGCCAGCTTGCTCACGCGGTGCCGGGCTGACCGGCCCTTCTCGTCGCCGTGCCGAGACGACTTCTTTTTGCTCATGGCGCGTTTGGCGCCTAATCCTCTGGAGCCAATCTTTCCAGAGACTCCACTCTGCAGCCGCTCGCTGTCGCAGCGACCAGGCAGAAAGGTTTCTTTTCTTTAGAATTTTACAACAAAACTCCCTCGCACAACACTGGGCACGGGACTGGCGCGCACTGGCACTAACACAGGTACACCCTTCAGAATTTTACGAGAAAACTCTACTGGGCACGGGACTGGCGCGCACTGACTGGCCTGAGGGAGGGTGTACAGTGGGTTTCGGGCATTAAGAAAACAGGATCCTGCGGCACGCCGCCGTTTCTAAGCCTTTCCACCCTCCTCCCCCAGCCCACGCCGTGGTTTCTTAGCCCCGGCCGGCACTCAGGACCGCTGGGCCGAGGCATTTTTCCGTGCGAGGCGCGCTAGGCGAGGCGGTGGCCGGGCGCGCGGTGCGGATTGGCGTGTGCGTGTGTGTGACTGCGACAAGTGTGACTGCGACACAGGACCAATGGGTTTGTATTATTAACAACGAAGGCGCTCTCAAAAAATAAAAAATAAGTAAGCTGCGGGATCACCACCTTGTAGCCGGCGGGGGCGCCCTCCAGCTTGATGAGGTCGTCGTCCGTGCCATCGGCTGTGAGCAGGGCACCAGAGCGTGCTCGAAGTACTTGCGCTTGGCCTCGCCCTGGAGCGCCTTCATGGAGGCCGTCAGCTTGTTCGACTCCCATTTCTCGAGGTTGTCCTCGTCGTCAAGCCACTCATCGAGCAGCTGCCCGAGGTAGACTTTGATCTGGCGCCCCATGCCGCGATCAATCGGCTGCACCTGGTCGGTCTCGTTGGGCGGCACCTTGTGGTCGTCGACGCCAACCGACTGCATCACAGGGGCGTTTGGGTGAGTGTGTTGCGGCGCTTGCCAGCCTGCGCGCCTGCGGCGCTTGCCAGCCGGCGCGCCTGCGGCGCGCCGTGGTTTCTTAGATTTTCGCGAAAATCGCTCGGCGTGGTTTCTTAATACTACGTTTTCTTAATGCCCGAAACCCAGACGAGGGAGGGAGCAAGACGTTGCGGAGATCAGCAGGAGGATGTACGAAGAGATTAGGAGCAGCAGGGACCCGAGGGACCATGTGGAAGACGGCTAGTCTAGGGGGCAGGGGCGGCTCAGGATCACAGACATCCCTCTCAGGATCACAGCACCGGCGGGGGCGCGCCTCAGGATCAAGCACCCACGGCAGGGTCTGTGAGGATCAGCAGACCTGGAGGGGGCGCGCTGAGGATCATAGGCCTGAGAGGGGTGCTGTCAAGATCACAGGGGGCTGCAAAGGGTGGCACTCGAGATCAGAGCGCCAAAATAGGTGCAATACAGATCAGCGGCCGGAAGTGGGCGCAATACAGATCACGAGCGCCGGAACGGGTGCAATATAGATCATGAGGGTTTTGTGGTCTGTGCGCGGACGGCCCGGGGAGCCTGCGGCGCTATTTTAACCTGCCCCGACAGAGTCTCTCGATACGGCGCGCGGCGGCGCCGCACCCAGCAAGCTGGGGCCGCTCCTTACGGCACCGCCGAGCTGGTCCCGGCGGCGGCGCGCATCCTCGTGCGCGCACCTCCGCACTCCGTGCCTGCGGGGTGGTGGCGTGCCTCGCCTAACACAACTGATCTCATCGAGTGCTCCATCGTGCCCGAGCTCGGATCCGAGGAGTGGACACCTTGCCAGGGAGGCGCGGACGCGGGGGTGGGCGGTGCAGGCTACTGCGAGGTTGGCGAGACTAACCCGAGAGTAACCCGAGACTAACCCGGCGCTAACCCGCGCTGCTCGGGGGCATACGTTAGGATGGGTTAGTGCCGGGTTAGCGTCGGGTTAGCGTCGGGTTATGGTAACCCGTTCTAACCTGTGCTGTCCCGCTGGAACCCACGGCTAACCCGCGCTTACGCCAGACTTCACGCCCACAGCGAGCTGGAGGCTTGGTCGTGTGCGCGCCGCTCTATTCGTGGAGCTGAGCAAAGCTCCGCCATGCAGCTGCTGGCGGGCTTTTCGTTCCTCGTTCTCATGCTCGTCGCCGACTCCGCCGGCCTCGCGGCGCCGCGCCGGCAGCCCGGCCCTCGTCGTCGTTCTGCCCCCACGCCGACGGCATACCCAGCAGTCGGCGACCGAGTGTCCGTGGTGCAGAAAGTCGACTACGCGAGCGGTCTACTAACCAACGGCACAGTGGCGCGCGTGCTCACGCGCAGTCGTCGTCACAGTCGAGGGTTCAAGGTGATGCTGCAGGGCGGCGTGGTCGGTCGCGTGCAGCACATAGTCGCTCCAGCGGACGGGAGAGTGGAGAGCGGCACAGAGGATGGCGGCGTCTCTTCGGCTCAACTGCTGGAGGCCGACATTCGAGAAGTTGCGGCCGGCGGCCGGCCAGCTGCGGCGGCCTCGTCGACGCCATCCTTGCGGGAGCAGCTCCTGGCGGAGAACGCCGCGCTGCGGGCGGCGCTGCGGGAGCGGCGGCCCCCTTCAGCGCCGCCGCGGCCGCCGCCTCGTGCTCCGCCGCCGGCGATGTGCGAGGGCGGGGGGGGAGGACGCCCGCTGGCGGAGGCAGCTCTGGGAGGGGCCGCCCTCCTCCTGCCGCCGCTGCTTGCAGCAGGCGTCGCGGTGGCGCTTGGGATGGGGCCGGGCGACGCAGGCAACGGCGGGATCGGCGCGCCGCTTACCACACAAGAGGTGAGAGCGATGCAGGGACGCAGCGCCTCGCCGTCCGACGACGCGGCTGCAGATTCCCCGCTTTCGTTCGAGGCGGCGGCGGAGGAGCAGGCACTGGTGGACGTCTTGAGAGGCGGCGTTATCCGGGCGCGGTGAGCATCCGAGAGGGGGCATGAGGCGGCGGCGTGCCCCTTCTTAGCCTAATTTTTTGAGAGGCGTCAGACGTTTTTTTGAGACGGCCACAGCTGACAGGCTGTCCGAAAAAATGCAGTACGCCACCAGGGGCCACGACACAACCATCCGGCAAGCGCCCAGGCCAGCAACGCCCCGGGAGCGCGCACGATTGCGCTCTCAAGCGCAAGACTGCGGTCGCATCGTCTCGCTATCTAGGACGCGGCGGGCGGCTCGGGAGCCTTTGGGGCGCCGTAGCCGACAGGAGTCTTGGGCGTCACAATGCCCTTGACCTTCGGCACCGAATCCATGATCTGCGGCGAGGCGGGAAGCAGCGCTCAGAGCGGGCGCAGGCGGGAGCAGGCGGGAGCATCCCCCCCCTTTGCTAGCGCATGTGTGCAGGAGCGGCAAGCGAGCGGCAGTGGGCGAGCGGCGGACGGCGGGCGGCGGTGCGCACCCCCTGGGACGACCAGAAGTGGGACGTGTCGCGGTAAGACTCGAAGCTGGGCTTGGCGCCGGCGGGCTTCTTGGTGGCGGGCACGAGGCCCGGCGCATTCAACCCGGGAATGGTCATCGCGTTGGCCGCGGACGGCGCCAGCAGCAGCGCGGCGGCGAGCACGTTGCGCCGCGACTCAGCCGCCGCCATCGTCGGGGCGGCGGCGCGGCCGGCGGCGGGCGCGGCCGGGACGCCGACCGTGAGGCCGTACGATGCCGAGGCGAGGGCAAGCATAGTGCGCAGCGAAATGAGCGTGAGATCCAGAAATCGAAGGAAGAAGAAAAATACGCGGGCAGGCTGTTTTCTTTCTTACGTCCGTGTCTATTTATTTATTTATTTATCCCTCCGTGTAACGACGCTGGAGAGCGAAACGCGCGGAGGGAAAACGCGTGCATGGCCGGGTCGACGGTCGGGCACGAACGCGCGCGGTCTACGCGCACTGCCTTCGATCACGACAGCGGGGCTCTCGAGCCAATCGTGCGCAGCGTGTGTGCGTGTGGACCCGTCGTCCGTGCAAGGAAAAGAACGACAGAAATAGGCAGTGGAGACAAAGGAGGGAGGGGAGAACGGCACGCCGCCACCACCGAAGTCAATCAAAGCAGCAGGATATGAATAATGAATAAAAGGAAACCCCAACGAAAATCGGAGAAGGCCAGGGGGAGCAGGGTCCCCACCCACCTGCACAAGCAGGATCTTGGAAGGACGATCAGGGACACAGGACACAAGCAAGGGGAGGGGAGCGGGGCGGAGCGCAAGGGTGGTTGAGAAGGGCCTAAAAGAAAAAGGCGCTAAAAAAAGAAAGAAAGAAAACAGACAACCCAAGGGAGGGATGGGAGGACGGCACGCCGCCACCACACAGGGATTTTAAGGAAAGGAGTGTGATGCGCTAGCCGTCGCCCACCCTAGGGAGTCTGCCTCTTCCTATCTCTTTTCGCAGTCTCTCGCCGATTCTCGCTGCAACCTTCATGCCACCTCGCGGCCGTCCCACTCTCGTCGTTCTCTCCCTTGTCAATTCCTCCTCTGTCGCGTCATTCTCTTCTGCCTCGTCCTGCGCCGCCGCCGCCTGCCGTTCCCTTGTTCTCTCGGCTTCTTTCGCCTTTCGGCGCAGCTCCGCCCTCCTTGCTGCATATCCTGGCCCCTCGAGTCTATCGAGCTCCCCTCGCGCAAGGACCACATTTCTGACTCCCACTCCGATCATTTGCCTCCAGGTCATGTTGTTGCTCAAGTCCACTCTCTCTTCGAACACTCGTGCCTCTACGGATGATGCCGGCGCTGGGGTCCCCTTCGGATGCATCGTGACATCTGACAACTGAATTTCCACTGGTTCGTCCTCCTCGGAGTCATCTTCCCCGTCCTCCTTCCGTTCGGCTCTTCGCTCGGTACGTTCGGTGTGGCTCACCCTCCATGCCGTGAACAGGCGCTTTATCCACCCTATATTCTTCTCTCGTTCCTCTGCCCGTGCCTTGGTCTTGTCGTTGTTTCGCACCCATGTCTGTATGGCAATCGAGGCTGCCTTCCCCACTACCTGTAGTTCACTCGTCACCTCTCCCGCGAGCTCCCTTCTCTTTCTTTCGGGTATGGAGTCCGTGAGTGCGGGTAGCGTGCAGGCAATCACGGGCGCTATTTTGTCGTACTCCTCTTCGGCGAGCGCTCCAAATCTAGACCCTTTCGCCTTTAAGGAGGCTGCCCTCGCTCGTCTCAGGAATGTGGCGGTGTCTTTTGAGTCCGGCGCCTCCCGTTCAACGCTACAAAATGCGGATACCTTTGCTGAGTTTTTTCCGCTTCTTTAACAAAAATGCGGGATAGCTTCTTGCTCAGCTTCCTGCTCAGCTTCCTGCTTCGCGTATCGCCGCTACACGCTCTCACCTACTCTACTACTCCGCCGCCTGCCGGCGGCATCGCGTCTTCGTTCGAGGGGTGGGCCTCGAGCGCTGGCATCGTCGCGCCCAAGATCCGCATCGACGATGCAGATGAGCTCCGGAACGTCATCGTCACGGCGGACGTGGAGGAGGGCGAGGTGCTGTGCGTAGTGCCGCGCACGCGCTGCCTCGACTTGGCCTCGCTGGCGGTCGACCCGACCAAGGCGGGCGCCTCTCCCTGCGAGCGGCTCGCGCCGACTCGGCTCTGGGCGAGCCTCGATTGGCACGAGCGGCTGTCGGTGTGGCTGCTCGCCGAGGCGCGTCGCGGGAGGGCGTCGGAGATCTGCGGGTACATCGACTACCTGCCCTCGCCCGCCAGCTTCGAGGACGGCCTCCTCGACTGGACCGACGCCGAGCTTGCGGAGCTGCGCTACCCGCCGCTCGCTGCGGCGGTTCGAGAGCAGCGCGACTCGATCCGGCGGCTGCTCGAGGCGCTCCGCGCGGGTGGAGGGGCCGACGCCGGCTCGGTCACCCTAGAGGAGCTGTCGTGGGCACAGCAGCTGGTCCTCTCGCGCGCCTTCGCCTCCGACATCAACAAGGGCGAGCGCGGCGCCACGTCGGGTGCGATGGGGTCCCGGGCGGCACCAGATAGATGCACCAGATAGATGCACCAGATAGATGCACCAGATAGATGCACCAGATAGATGCACCAGATAGATGCGGGAGACAACAGACAGGCCCTCGCTCCCAACCAGCCCTCGCTCATTTCCGCCCCACGCCCTGCACCGCCAGCCCTTGTGCTCCCCCAACGCAGGCGCCGCTGCCTCCTCCGCCGCCGCCGAAGAGCGGATTCCAAAAGGCGCCCGAGCCCAGACGCCGAATACGGATGCCCTGTATTCCGACTGGCACTCGGGATAGACTCGGCTGACCGTTCGCTGTACCCGCTGTACTCGTAGCCCGTGTGCCGCGGTGCTCGGAGCACGCTGCGCGCGCCCGTCCTCCCGCCCCCAGCTCGCCTGTCCTCGTGCGCAGGCGTGGGAGAGGTCGGAGCTGTCGACCGTGGTCCAGTACGGCTGCGGAGAAGCGGCTCCCGTGGACTCACTGACGTGCGATCGGCGGAGGCTCGACCATAGGTGGCCACGCGGATGCCGAAGCTGCCCTCCCTCGACGACCTCAAGGGCGCGATCGGCGGCGAGCCCGTCAACGACCCCTCCTTCGCCATGGCGCTGATGCCGATGCTCGACTCGTTCAACCACAAGTCCGGGGCGGTGAACGGCTGCTCCTTTGACCCGGAGGCGTGCCTCGTGCCTCACCACACACACAGCGCGTCAAACCCACACGCCACACCCACACGCCACACCCACACGCCACACCCACACGCCACACCCACACGCCACACCTACGCCTACACCGCTCCACACCGCACCGCTGAGGCAGGCGGGCCACTTCCTAGACACTTCCTAGGCACTTCCTGGACACTTCCTAGACGCACCACAGAGGCGGGCGGGGCCACTCGTGCCGGGCCGGCAGGCATGCACGCGGCCGCGTACAGACGTCCCGTCCTGCGCCCAGCCGCGGCTCCTCACACCGCCTGCGTCTTACTACAGGCGAATGCGTTTGTGCTGACGGCGGGCGCGCCGCTGCGGCGCGGCGAGGAGGCGTACATCTCCTACGGCGACAAAGGCAACGATGCGCTCCTGCAGCTGTTTGGCTTTGTCGAGGCCTTCAGCCCCGCCCGCGCGACTGTGAATGGATCCTGCAAGGAAGGGACCCGACCGAGGAAGGAATGGATTAGGCATCCAACCCGCACGACTCCTTCCTCGCCGTCGGCCTTCCGGAGCACGTCGCTGCGGTGGCGCGCGACAGCTTCCGCGGCGGCGGCGGCGAGGCGGAGGTGACTCGGCGGGGACGTCTCCTCGGCTCGGCGTGAATTTGCTCGGAAGTGGTGGTCCCCGGGCCTTCCCACAGGTGACTCGGCGGGTCGGCCTCATCGACTCGCTCGGCCTCGGCCCCTCTCTCGCCTCGGCAGAGCTGACTGCGCGCGGGGCGCCACAAGGCACGTGGCACGCGCTGCGGCTGCTTCTGGGCTCGGTGGAGGAGGCGAGATACAGCCGAGATACAGCCGAGATACAGCCGAGATACAGCCGAGATACAGCCGAGATCTGGCACGCGCTGCGGCTGCTTCTGGGCTCGGTGGAGGACGCGGCCCAGCGCCGCTCGCCCCGGCTGCGCGCGTGGAGTTTCCTGCGGAGCGTGCCCCGAACTTGCCCGCAGGTGTCCGGCGACCTCGCCCGGCTGCGCGGCGCCGTCTCGCTCGAGACGGAGGCGCGCTGCTGGGCGGCGCTCCGCTCGTACTGCAAGGCGGCGCGCGCGGCGATGGGGGGCGCGCGCAAGGCGGACCTCGCCGAGGCGCGTTCCACCGCTTGCCCGCCGCGGCGCGCGCTAGCGCTGCAGCTACGCGCGGAGAAGAAGCGGCTCCTCTCCGAGCTCGAGGCGGCGCTCGTGGCAGTCGAGAGCCGCTCGCGCAAGGCGGGCAAGCCGCTGTCGACTGTGGCGATGCCTTGAGGCAGCGGCTGCCAGGCGGAGTCGTACGACGATCTCTTCTAGCGTCCAGTGCAGGTAATACCCGAAAGGATACCTCGGAAAATCCGGCAAATGCCAACCCGGTAAACTCCGAAATATCCTGTGTTGTGCGACGGTGTATCAGTCGCCTTATGTGCCACAATTGCATATCCGCAATCCGACACGCGGGATATTGCAACGGTGGCATTTAAGGCGACTGAAAAACACCCGGATCGCCCAACGCCCCCGCGCAGAGAGGCGTCCTGCGCAACGGAGAACGGTGGCAAAAGCAAAGGTGCGACTGATACACCGTCGCAAAACTGCATTCCTGGGTCGTGCGGAGATGCATCCGTTTGGGCACCGGCGGATAGCAGGTGATTGCTAAGGTGGGTTTCGAACCAGTGACAACCGGCCCCCGTCTGGCACTGGGGGGGTGTTTGCGCCCCGATTGCGCCGAGAAGTCGAACTGGGAACTGCGGGCAATTCGAAACTCGCGACCCAATAGTTGTGCGACGGTGTATCAGTCGCCTTATGCCACCGTTGCATATCCTTATGCCACCGTTGCATATCCGGGTATGCAACGGTGGCATAAGGCGACTGATGTACACCGTCGCCGGTACGCCGCATGTTGTCGTTAGGCGGGGATTGACGACCCAAGACGTAGAGCTGTTCAACGTTGGGAGCTGAACAGTGTTGCTAGTGTTAACAGTAACAACAGAACAACAGTGGGGCTCCCCAACAACAGTAGCTAACGTTAGGCCGGCTGAACAACAATAAGGAAGGGGCCTCGGCAGTGACCCACGACGATCCTTCAGTCCAGTGCGGGATATGCATATGGTGCAGGGGGCGGGGGCACATGTCCCTAAATCCCATCTCGCCTCAGAGTTTGACCGTTTTATTTCATTTAATTTTGCTCTCCCCAGCCTGCTATCAGCCTACTTGAGAAACCGTCGCCGCGCTGCTGCGGGGTGCTGGGGCTGCTAGTGCTACGCGGGGCGCTGTCTCTGCGCAGTAGTCGTTTAGGACTGAGCGCACGTGATCGTGTGCGAGCAGTGCGTGGTGCATGCTGTCGTCATACTCGTCGCATCAGCCAAACGTCCAAGAGAAGGAAACCGCCACGCGGACCTTGGCAAGGTAAGGAAAGGTGAACTTCTCAAGGGTGGGGGGGGGGGCAAGGGGGGGCGATGGTTGCGGACCTTGATCGTCTCTTGGCCGCAGAGCTGCGAGAGGAGGAGCAGATTGGAGGACTGGAGCGCTGCGTTGAGCACGCTAGCAGTCTGGCCAAGCGTCGAGTTGCACACGCGTGGGCTCGTCCTCCAGTACACGATGCCGCGTGACAAGTTGGCCAGCGCGTGCGCGAGCAACGCCCCCTCGCGCTGCCTGAAGTGCCAGCCGTCTCGTCGATCCGCGTCGAAGATGTCGTCCGAGCCCGCGTGCAGCAGCAGCAAGTCTGGCTGAAGCTGAGCTAGCCCGTGCCAAAGCCCGGTGTAGTAGACGCGCTGCTCCCAACCAAAGGTGATGTTTGTGTTTTGTCCGACGATGAACTCGCAAGCGGCCGCGTCGTCTTCGCGACCGAAGGACCCTGTGCCGCAGAAGGCCTTCTCCGCATCACGGACGACTCGCGGACTAGGAAGCTTCGCAATGGGAGACATTGCCTGTTGCCGCTGAGCAGCATAGCCATTGCAAAAGCGAGGTGTCGTGCAACGGAGTTTCCACCGACAAAGACGCGCTTGTTGCGGAGACATTCGCGGTAGTTGCGGAGATCGTCAGACGGCTGCACGAACATGCACGCGCCGGGGTTGGCGTCGAACGGCCTCATACCCTTGAGCGTCCTGGCTCTCATCGGGTGTCGAGAGGCGGATACGTTTTTACTCCCGGCCGAGGGGCTCTGTGGGTTCCGGCTCCGACCCGGAAAGGGGGTCTGTTTACCACGACTCGCGCCAAAACGCCCTACCTACCTATCTATCCCCAGGCCGCGCAGCGAAGCGAAAAAAGACGAAAAGAGGGGGTACCTACCTGTTGCAGGGCCCTCTGGGGCGGTCAAAACCGGACCTACCTGTTGCATAGGGTGTCACCGTGGTAAACAGACCCCCTATCCGGGTAGGAGCCGGAACCCTGGTTGGAGAAGAATGGGTCGCTGCGGTGTAGAGGGTCAGCTCGCGCGAGAGTGGCCTGTGAGCCATCGGCTTACATTTACCCTGTTTCTCGCACATGGAGTGCGAGGTACTCGACTGAGGACTGTTGCCATCCGCATCCCAAGCTGTCTACACTCCCCTTTCTCCCGGCTGGGTTGCGCGCCGTGATTTTTGTTCTCCAAAAGAAAAACGCGCTCCGGCCGAGGACGAGGCGTGGCTGCCCTAGGCTTAGGCCCCTCGGGCGCGGTATAGGGAACTGGCCGTACCGCGTACCGCTTCACACCGAGGGCGCCGTACCGATACCGCTAGGCTCTCCGGCGCCCCGTACCGCTACCCTGTAGCGAGAAAACAGTTCGCCGTACCGTCAGTCGCGACGGGAGGCGTTGTCGCCCCGAGATCCGCCTCGCAAAGTGCGTGCGGCGGCGCGTGTGGCATCAGCGTCGCCGAGAGCGTCGTGGTACGTGGAGGCCGTGAGCGAACGAGATGGGAATCGCCGAGTATTGTCACTCGCTTTTTCTCGTGCCTCTTTCTCTTTTACCTTCTTACAGCTTCCCTCCGTTTTAACTTGTATGTCTTTCCCGCGATTTAACTCACGTTTTTTCTTTCTTTTTCAGGTTTGGGGCAAGTGGAAGCTGGCTGCTCCCACTTCAGTCACTTCCAAGAAACTGTCAAAAACATGGAGAGAGTAAAAGTACGTAGGAAAACTTCGGCTGCCGCTCGCCTGGCAAAGCAGGACGGAAGGGATGCGCGGCAAATGAATGGTGGGTCATATGTGCACATACAGGCGCATTTTAGATGCGGAACCGCTTCGTGCACCCCAAGTCTTTGAACATGCAACTTTGTGTCGCCGACGATCACCTTCCACTCGAACGCTGCTGCTCAATCGGCTGCTCACGAGCGCCGGAGAGCAGCGACAACTGCCCCTTTGGCGTCGAGTGCTGTGCCCGAAGGTGGGTGCGCAAGCTTCTGGGTGGGTCTGGAGAGGGGCCATTTTCATGTGCTTGCTCGTACATAGGCTACGCTGGAGTGCCGCAACGCCAAGCGGTCGACGGCACGCTCTCCGTCGACAATGCCTCCTTTGCCCCTCCTTGCGATAGGCAGCGGCTCGTCGCAAAGATGCTCCTCTCCCATGACATGCGGTACACCGCCACAGGCATCACTGAGCGCGACGACCGCTGCGGCACGCGACCGTCTGGCGAGCTGCGCTCGCCCACGCCGGCTGTGCACATGCACATGCACATGCTACATGTGTTGTTGTGCATGTGTCGATATTTCGCGCATAAGCTTGCTCATGCACACACACTACTAGCACTCAAGCGGTCGCGCTGGACGTTGTGGGACGCCCGGCGTTGGCCGCGCTCACCGTGGCTGTCGAAGCTGCGGCTGCGCCGGTCGCGGCTGCGGCTGCGACTGCGAGACGAGCCGCCGGCCCCCGACGAAGAGTCGCCACCACTCTGTTGCATCCGCGCCAGCTGATAGGGAGATGGCTAGACGCGAGCGGAGCGAGCGAAGCGCTCTGCGGGACGACGAGCCCGGCGGGCGAAAGAGAATGTGTCGCCGCAGCCAGTACTCCAGAGGACCGCCACCGGCGATCCCGGACGGACCGCGTACCGCGTACCGCTTCACACCCGCGGGGCCGTACCGATACCGCTTACCGGGCCCGAGGGGCCGATAGGCTGTCAATGGCCAGCGAATCGTCGTCGGTGCCGGTCTCCATCCTGACTGGCTTCCTCGGCGCTGGCAAAACGACGCTGCTGCGCCACCTCCTCACGGAGAAGCACGGGCTACGCATCGCCGTCATCCAAAACGAGCTCTCGGCGACGTCTGGTCTCGAGGTGCGAGCCGCATCTCCAGCCCGTGTTGCCCGGCGCCGTGCACCGGTGACTGCACGTCGCCTGCGTGCCTGTGTCAGCCAGCTACCAGCGTGCCCTCTCAACCGCCACGTTCACTGCACTGCGCCGCCGCTGCGCCGCGGTAGGCGTCGACAATGCAGGGTCCCGGCGGCGAGACGTTTGACCGGTGGATGGAGCTGGCCAACGGGTGCGTCTGCTGCGAGGTGCGCGACGAGCTGCCCTTTGCGCTCGAGCGGCTGATGGAGGCCACGAACACATTAGATGGGAGATATGTCCGGCCGTGTGCCGCCGGAGCGTGGTTGTGTATTGTGCGGCTGGCCACGTGTGGGCTGCAGGGCAATCATCCCGACATCAGCCCGCATCTGAGACGGTAGGCCAAGGGGCGCTTCGACTACGTCCTCATCGAGACGACGGGCGCGCGCACCGCCGCTGAGAGAGAGAGAGAGAGAGAGAGAGAGAGAGAGAGAGAGAGAGAGAGAGAGAGAGAGAGAGAGAGAGAGAGAGAGAGAGAGAGAGAGAGAGCGAGGCTCCCCTCTCTCTCCCGCACCTCTGCCGGGGAGGTGAGGCGCGCCACTGAGGAGTGTAGGCATGGCGGACCCCGGCCCCGTCCTAACCCTAACCCTAACCCTAACCCTAACCTAGCCGAGGACTGTAGGCATGGCGGACCCCGGCCCCGTCGCGGCGTCGCTATGGCTGGACGACGCGCTCGAGTCCCCTCTCGAGCTCGACGGAGTCATCACGCTTGTCGACGCAGTCCGCCCCTAGATGCCCGCCGCAGAGGCGCTGTGCCGCAGAGGCGCTGTGCCGCAGAGGTCTGTCGCTCCGGCCGGCGCTCGTCCAGACGCGTACTCGGCTGCATGACACTGTCCTCAGTGCAGCCGTGCGGCCTGTCCTCGGCCCGGTACTCCCACCCTCAGCCGCTTGCGTGGCCACCCGCTAGGCTGTCCACGCCCACCGCCAGCTACACACCGTCGAGTGCTCTCGGCAGATCGCCTCGGCAGACACACTCGTGCGCCTCTAGCCGAGATGGCGCGAGATGACCGCCGAGAGTAGCCGAGAGTGGCAAACCGCCTCGGCAGACACACTCGTGCGCCTGTTGCCTCGAGCGCGGCGGCGCGGCACGAGCGCACACACGCGCCCGCGACACGTCCCGCGTGCGAGCCCGACTCTGGGTGCGCCAATCTCTGGGTCTGCCCATCTCTGTGCCCGCGCCTCAGGTCCTCAACAAGTGTGGCGACGCGGCGGCGGCGGGCTTCGCCCTCGACCGCCTCTGCTCGGCGCGGAACCGTCTCGGAACCGTCTCGGAAGCTTCCCCTGCAGGCGGGCGTCGACCTCGACCGGCTCTGCGCGCGGCTGCGGGCGATCAACGCGGTCGCGCCGCAGCTGCGCGCGTCGCACTCGCAGCTGCCCGTCGCTTCGATCCTCAACCGCAGAGCCTACGCGCGCGAAGGGCCTCCGCCGCTAGACGCCGAGGACGCACCCGCGTATTCCGACCAGCGCTCGAGAGGACACGTCTTCAAGCGAGCACCCTCTTTTCTCCTACCCAATCCTCTGGAGGCAGCGCACGAACCCCGCAAGGCTTCTGCACACCCCGTTGGTCGACCCGCGATGCAGGCCTCTCCTGCCGCGCGCGCCGGGGTGCGGCTGGGCGACGACTGCTCCGGTCGTGTGTTCGCCCGGCCGAAGGAGGGACTCGCCGAGCGCCGCACGAGGCTGTCCGAGCGGTCCTGGCGTAGGTTGCGACCGCGACGGCGCGGCGGGCGGTCGGCGCAGGTCCGGCATGCGGCGAGTGCGAGGAGGAGGAGGAGGCGGAGGCGGGCCGGGAGGAGGGTGCGCCGCGGGTGGCGCAGGGCCGCGCCGCGCCCACTTCGCCCGTTTCTTCCCCCGTCTCGCTGCACGCCGACCGCCGCTTCGGCACGGTGACGTTGCTGCTCGGGCGCGCGCCGCTGCGACTGCCCCTACTGCAGGCGCGTGCGCTCTTGCGGGCCTACGAGATGGCTGCCGAGATGCTGCCGAGATGGCGCCGAGATGGCACGGAGATGACACGGCTTGAGTCGAGCCGAGGTCGAGCCGAGGTCGAGCCGAGGTTGTTGTTGAGTTGTCGAGTGGAGCCCCCCCAAACCCCCCCCTCTCACAGGGTTTCTTGGCGAACCTGTTCTGGCCGGACGACGACGCCGATCCGCCGCCAGCCGCCCCCCACGGCACCGCTGGCGAGGCGGCGGGGCCGGCCGACGCGGTCGAGGTGTACCGCGCAAAGGGGGAGTTGGCGGTGGCGGACGAGGAGGTGGGGGGCGTGGTCGCGAGATACACGCTGCAGGCCGTGCATGAGACCTGGGAGCTGGAGCGCGGCCGGCCTTGGGGTGAGGAGGAGGTGGCCGAGAGCCGACTCGTCTTCATCGGCCGCAACCTCGACGAGGCGACCTTGCGCGCAATGCTGCTGGCGTGTGTGGCGTGCGAGACCGAGAGGCGGTCGTGACCCGACACATCGTCTCTCTTACAGTCAAATTAAAAAGGGGCAGCCAATCTCCAGCCCCAAACCAGCCATCTTACATCGAGGACAGGATACCCAGTGGAAATATCAAATTAAATGCACGAAATGGTGTGCCGTGCCGCGCAGTTTTGAGCACGGTCGATGGAGATTGTACGGTCGCATTGGGCATTGACACAGGGTGACACAGTCAGCCTTCGCCGTCGCTCCCACTGCTACTGCTGCTACTACTCCTGCGCTCCCTCCGCTTGGCTTTGCGCTCCTTCTTGGCCGCCCTTCTCGCCTTTTTTGCCGCCTTCCTGGCCTTGCGTTCCGCCTTGCGCTGCCTCCGCCGGTCGTCCTCCCCGCGCTCGTCGCCCGCGCCCGGCTCCGCTTGCTGCTCCCGCGCCGCGAGCAGCTGCAGCTTCCTCTGCGCTGCTCGCTCCCGCTCCTCGCGCAGCTCCCGCTGGGCCGCGTCGGCGGCGGTGCTCCCTGCAGGCGTCGCTCCCGGCGGCTCGTCGCGCGGCCGTTTGCGCGCCCCATCCTGGCCGCGCGGCGGCCGCGCGCGCGGATCTGTCGCTGCGGGGTGCGCCGACTCCTGCTGCTGCTGCCGCCGGTGGGCGTCCCACAGCTCCTCGCACTCCACGACTTTGTTGTGCGCAGCGACGTGCCGCATCACACGGCCGAGCGCCGACGCGTTCACGCTCGGCTTCGTCCCCGCGGCGCCCACCGGAGCGCTCGTCGGCGCCCAGAGGCCGGTGAAGCGAGGCTTGGATGCCATGTCCAAAGCCAAGGGTTGTGGAGCGCGGCGGACCGCCTCGCCGGCAGCGGAGGACTGTGAACACCTCAACCTCACGGATTCACGCCCTTCCCCTTCGAAGTAGGGTACCACCCTACTATTTAGGGTGGGCTCCGGCGCCCGCCCGCATCGCCCCCAGATGGCAAGCGGAGCCTACCCACGTGGCGCGCGGGTGCCCTCGGCTTACGGACCGAGTCGCACGAGGCTCACATTAAGTGAAGAGGGCTGCCGTCGTAACCGAACGGGGTCAACTTTTGTTCACTCAGTATTGGTCCACCCTACAATCTAGGGGGCGCGGATAGCACGCCCACGAGAGCTCTATGGCAGCCCGCCAGCGGCGCGGCGTGATAGCCCCTGCGGCCGCTCCGGCGTCCGTTCCGGCGGCCGCTCGGGCCGGCCTCGACATGGGAAGGCCCCCGCACGGGGGGGGGGGGCATCAAGCATGATCGTCCGGACGGGCCCTCCGTACACGGAAGCAGGGTACCGGAGGCATTCCCGAACTCAAAACAGGGTACCAAGGGAGATATGAGCTCAGCTCAGTGAGATCTAGCAGCACATACCCTTGGTGCCCAGAATAGTTCAGTCTGAAAAAGAAGGTCCGACCGCGCGGAGCCGTCTGGCTGTCTGCAGAGCCCCCGCGGGAACGCCCACCCCTTAGGGCAAGGAAAAAAAAGAGGGGGGGGGGGGGG